GAAAGGAGGGTTGGCGAGGAAGAGTAGCCGACAGCCATAGCTGACCGGAGGGTTGACCGGAGGTGTTGACCGGCGGTTATCGGAGTTGACAAGGGGTTGACCGGGACTGTTAGCAGAGTTGATAGGCGTTGACCAAGGCTTTGACCAAGCTGGAGCCGGTAACATCTCGCCAAGCCTTCAGCCTACCCCTCGCCCTATGGATGTGCACACACCCCTTGATACTTGCCGAGTCCAGTCGGTCTGTCTATTCTTTTTGCATCGAGTCTCTTCTGTCCTAGGTGATAGTACTTTGTGGATGAAGCATAGGGCCTGGATGACGAATCCCCTACCTGACTTAGTAGAGCTGATACCGTGTCTAATCTCACTGTCTCGGAGGCCTAACCCTCCCAAGGACCGGCGCTGACCGGCGGGGCTCGGATTGGTCGTGACACGGTGGGCTTGAACGGCGGAGTTGTGGGCTGACACAACAGGCAGTCTTAAGTGTTGAGGGCCTTGTTGACCCAAACCCCTACCGGACCTAGTAAGGCTAAAGGCCGTGTCTGACGACTCGACTGTCTCGGAGGTCAAACCCTCCCAAGGACCGGTACTGACTGGCGGGCTGCTCGGTGTGGCACGGTAGGCCCGAAAGGCTGAGTTGTGGGCTGATGCAACAGGCCAGACCAAGCTGATCACGTCGTCCTTTCTGCGACGTTAAATAATTCCTGCGGAGTTCGGGGGATCTCCTTAAATGCCTCCTGATCAACAACAGGTTTAGTAGTGACAGCCATAGTTAGGTCCAGGCCAGAGACCATAGTTGCCAGGATCCCTGTCTGGATTCTGCGAGTCTTAGATCAAGTCTTTAGGTTTGTCAGTCAGGGGTTAGAGTCGACGTGGTGAGGTTTGGAACCACCACCCAGTTGTGCACTTTTCACCATGGTTGAGACCCGCAGTGGGAAGGACGCTAGCCCCTATACCAAGGAGCAGTAAGAAAAGATGGCCGCCTTAGTTAAGGAGAATAGGGAGAGAAAAGAGCTCGAGAAGCAAGCGAAGCTAAAGGCTATCGCAGACGAGCAGGCGGCGAAGATGAAGGAATTGGAGGAGGAGATGGAGAAAAAGAAGAAGGTTGCTGAAGAAGAAGCGGCGACAGAGGAAGAAAAAGAGAGAATGAGAATTGAGAGTGGAGAAGGGAGTAGTGGTGGCACGATGAAGAGGGATAAGCGAGTGGGTCGCTAATTTATCGTTGGGAGAAGACGAGGAGGCGGAATCTTACGTAAGTGAGGATGAAAGGGCTGCGCTAGCCAGTGAGCTAGCAGCAATGAGAGATCCAATGGAACGGCGAGAAAGGGAGGAGGAGCAGAAATTGGCGTGGAAGCTGAGGATGAAGAGGGAGAAGAAGAGGAGGAGAGAGGAAGTGAACAAATTGACCGTAGAGGTGGCAAAGGTGCAGGAATGTAGAATAGAAGTATTGGCCCAACCAAACGATAAGGCCAAGTGGGACAAAGTGTTGGGTTACCTGGAAGTGTTGAGCAAGGCCTGGATGGAGGAGCGCCAGGCCAGTTGGAGCCAAGACGTAGCGTTGAGTGCCATGCGGTCGAGGTTCAGAGACTTTGCGTGCGAGGTCGTCACCCATATTGGGGGCGAAGTCAGGCAACTGAGGGACAACGTAGGGAAGTTTTGTGAGGGCGCTATTGAGGGCGCCAAAGCCATAGCCGCTGTAGAGGGTGAGGTCAGGCCTCGCAAGGGGACAGTCAAGCTCAAATTCTTGGATGCTTATGGAGGGAAGATGGAAGAGAACTTTGACAACTGGGAAGCCAGTGTCAATAACTATATCTATTTACAGCATATCGTGATAGAGGAGCAAGTCCTCGTGGCCTTCCAGGCCCTTAAGGATGAGGCGGCTAGCTTTGCCAGGTCCCTTGCGCGCGCTGTCGTTTGTGAAAACAACCAGGTGGCATATTCAAAAGTCACC